AAATTATTAATATCTAAAAAGGTAAAATAAAACCATAACACTACATTGAATGCTCAAATTGACGACCTCTTTATTGAATGCACATAAGTTGTAGCTCCAGACAATTTTGGGACAGTTTTCTATCATAATAGGTGTAATACTAATACATGCATCTCTTGTTTTTTATTTGAGATGGTCGATATCTGTACTTGGTGTTGAAAAACTTCATCCTTCATCCCTAGACGGAAAAATCTAAAGAAGTAAGATCGGGGAATCGAGCTGGCCATCTAAATATTCCTTTACTATTGCTGCATTTTGGGAAGGAGTGCCGTCTTGTTGCAGTGGCAATTCATCGAAGTAGTCATCGAATTCATTGAGTAGGAAATGAAGAAAGCATAAATAAATAGCATATCAGTCCTTTCATCATTTGAATACATCTGTGATATATATGTTCATAAACATCTGACAGTTCTCTTCAACAGATATCAACACACATTCATTTTTTCTGATGATAAATGAATTGAGATGCTATTTGATCATACCAAATTATGCAACAATCGAATTTTGACCAAAAACTGATATTTTCGTCACTTCCAGGATTGAGAATCATGAAAATATTACGAATTATAATTGATTAGGGAGAAATAAGTCTTGAAAGAAGGATTACTACAATACAAAAATTTCCAAAACGAAAAAGTAAAAATTTTCATTGTGGTAGGGTACCTACCTGTCAAATTCATTGGGTTGTCTGAATTATATTTTGAAGAAGTCGAAAAAGTTTACAAAAGAAGTAACGACAGGACCGAAATCTAAAATTGTCACTGATGATGGTAGTTATTTCTAATGAAACAATATAAAAACATCAAATGTGATATACCCGTGGATCGTAAATTTATTGTTTCATCAACATCTGTAATGAAAAAGACAGGTACGTATTTAAAAAAAAAGTTGATTGTGGCCATGTTGACACGAAACGTTTTATCGTCATTGTACACTTCGAATACAGTAACATTTTCATTTTCCACTTTTTGATATTCCCCGAAATAACAATTCCATTCGAAAAAAACGAAAAACAGCATTTTTGGTTTTCCTCATATATTATTTATATGCAATATTCCCAAGAAAATGGATTGGAAACAATTGACCAATTATCCAGTCAGCTCGATCCCCAGATCTTACTCCTTCAGATTTTTTTTCGTCTGGGGATACATCAGGGAGTTTTTTCAACACCAAGTACAGATATCGACCATCTCGAACAAAAAATTGGAAATTCATGTATCAGTACTACATCTATTATTTGAATTGAAGGGGTTATATTTCTAGGAGTGATTAATTTTTGAGAAAGAAAGTTTTTGGCTTTCTACTACTCCATCTTGATACAAAAAAAAGAAATCTTCCAAAGAAAAGAAGAAAGTAATCAATATGAAAATAAGTAACTCTATACATGGATGTGTAGATCATGCAAATAGGTAACTTTCAGACACAAACTGGAAGAAAGTCCTCCTGAGACAGCTACTTTCATATAAACATTGAATTACACGAAAAAAAACATTCTTTAGAATCAAATACTTCTATATGAATACTGAATTATACAGAAGATACTTTTCTCTACTCAGTTTGTATTTCAAACATTCGTTGTAGAATAAAAATCAGATATCATTCACATGAGTTCTACTTTGAATGGATGGTAATAAATTGCACTTACATGGAACACTGTCACCCTTACTGGTATACACCGATGTTTCGCCTTAAGACACTTGCCCTAAGGCTCTTCAGTACCAAATTGGATAACATTATAGAAAATACACACAATTCATTCATGAATGAATTGTGTGTGTGTTCCATGTAAGTGCAATTTATTACCATCCATTCAAAGTAGAACTCATGTGAATGATATCTGATTTTTATTTCACAACGAATGTTTGAAATACAAACTGAGTAGAAAAAAGTATCTTCTGTATAATTCAGTATTCATATAGAAGTATTTGTTTCGAAAGATTTTTTTTCTTTCGTGTAATTCAATGTTTATATGAAAGTAGCTCTCTCAGGAGAACTTTCTTTCAGCTTGTGTCTGAAAGTTACCTCTTTGCATGATCTACACATTCATGTATAGAGTTACTTATTTTCATATTGATTACTTTCTTCTTTTCTTTGGAAGATTCCCTCATCTTCCTTTTTTTGTTTCAAGATGGAGTAGTAGAAAGCCAAAAACTTTCCCAAAAATACATCTATTATGTTAGAAAATTTCCCCAGGAATTGTCTGAACCGACAATTTACGTCCATTCAACAAAGAAGTCATAAGTCATCCATTCGAACATTCAATGTAGATTACCATGTATCTTTGTGTTTATGTATTGGTTTCGTTTTTCCCAAAAGTTAATTGTTTATTATAGGTGGAATAATACAAATGAACATTTGTATTACTTGTATTTGTATTATAGGCGGAATGATACAAATGAACATTTGTATATTCCACCTTGTATTTTCAAGAAAGGTTCGGAATAAATGTTTGGTTGGAAATTCTGGGAACAAAAATCCTTGGCTCCTTCTTTTACGATGATCATTTGAATAGTGAAATGTATCTTCATTTTCGATTCTATGCATTCGATGGCTACTCAGATGAATTGCCACTGAATATCCGCCATGGATTACAATATTTTCATCAGGACGCCGCTTCTCCCCATAATGCAGCAATAGTAAGGGAAAATTTAGATGCAATATTCCCTAGAAAATAAATTGTATTAGTATCACACTCATTAAGCTGAAAAATTTCCACAGAAATTATCTGGACCGAGAACTTATGTGCATTCAACAAAGAGGTTCTCAATGTGAGCATTTAATGTACACCGTCATGAGCTTTGATTTTCCGTCTTGCTTTCATTTATCCCAAAATTTCATAAGAAAATAAATTGTTTTTCTGTTTGATTGTTGTCACTGATGATGGTGGTTATTTCAAATGAAATGCTATGAAAATATCAAATGTGATATACCCTTGAATGTCAAAAAAGTTAATGGTGGCCATGTTGACATGAAACGTTTTATCGAATATTTATCATTTCATTGTCATAGCATACTTTGAATATAATAACATTTTTTTCCATTTTATGATATTCTCCGAAATAATTCCATTCGAAAAAAAAAACGATAAACAGCATTTTTGGTGTTCCTTGTTCAACTCGAGAACGGCGAGAGTACTCGTGAATTTTCTTCAATCATTGCATTGCTCCCGCTGACAGTTACCTTTTTTATACGCTTTATATGAGCTTAACCTGTATGTATGTATGTAAGCCTGTTTGTATGCATGTTTGTTTGTGACTCTTAAGCTCGGGATCTGTATTGACAGAATTATCGGCATTATTGCTTGATCTATCCGCGGGCAGATGGCGCTGTACGTAACTTACTTGATATTTCTTGATTTATTCGCGGGCAGGTGGCGCTGTACGTAACCTCATTGATAGGTTGTTCAAAAGAAAATAAAAATAATAAATATAGTTTGAAAACCTAAATAACACGTTTTTATAGCATATGGAACTTATAAGTGAAAATAAATATAGTTTAAAAAAAACTTAAAAGCACGCTTTTAAAGAACATCGAACTAAAAAGTTAAAAAAATAAATATAGTTTGAAACAACTAAAAAACACGCTTTTGAAGAACATCGAAAAAGTTAAAAATATTTTTTTTAAAATAGGCTCAAAACAATAACGTTCGAAAAATACTAGTATTATTGTGACAAAAGCGTGGGCGCTTTGTGCCATATTTTCTGTATGTCTAGTGCCCAGGCTTTTTTCACAATAATACTGGTATTTTTCGATCGTTATTGTTTTAAGCTCACTTGAAAAAAACAATTTTTAACTTTTCAGTTCCATGTTGATTAAAAGCGTGTTTTTTAGTTTTTTCAAACTATATTTATTTTCATTTAATCGTCTTGGTATGTATCTATTACAGTTTAGAATATAGCAATGTTACCACATGATAAAATAAACGGCCTGTATACTGTTCGATAGAGAATGTTGTACTCTATTGCTGTTAATTTTTTCCAAATTTTGATTTTTTCAACCTTTTCAGTTTATTACTATATAATGTCATCGGTCGACTTTCAGCCAATTATACTCTACGAATTTAAATTGAATCAAAGCGCTGCTGAAACAGCCCGAAAAATCAACCAGACATTCGGCAATGATAGTATTAATGAACGCAATGTTCAATGACGGTTTGCGAAATTTCATTCCGGAGATTTCAGCGACGAAGATAAGCTCCGAAATAATCCAGGACGATGATTTGAGTACTCTGACCCTCAAAACGCGTGAGATGGCGGATGAAGAAGGCGTCAGATCGCACGCGATTTTCTATGGCATAAAACGTTTTGGGGAGGTCAAAAAGCTCTAAAAGTAAGTGTCTGCATGAGAGATGTAGACTTTTCGTGAACGAATTTTGAAAATTGAGTTAGTAATGAAGTTTTACTACGTCCAACCCGTGCTTCATAGCACTGTTGAAACCTCGATTTAACTGATAAATTTGTGAATTGTAATCAAAAATACCTTTCATATGTAATATCCACCAAATTTTGTATTTGAATTCATTGAACATCGCCAGAACTGAAAAGGATGTGGGAAAATTAATTTTCATTCCTGAAGGTTGACCAACTTGAAATAACCTCACCGGCCATTGAAGATTGGGATTCATTCAAATAGTGAGGTATCAAAGTAGTATCACCTGTGAGAATCAGCATAAAAACCAATAAAAAATTGCCATTGAAAACAGGTCCTTACTCAAAATTTCAAGGTTGATGGTGGCGCAACTCGGAAGTTCAATAGGAATATTCTGATGGTTGATTCAAAGTTTCTGTGATGGAGTTCGAAGATATTTTTGAGCGAAGTCAAAAAACTTGACCTACTCCAGCTCTCACCATAACGAAATTCTCACCTGTTGAATAGCCCCAAATATTTCAAACGTTTGTGAATAAATCTTCAGGTGATGATAACATGTTTGAGAAATCTTATTCGGAAATAAACTACCGTACTTATTCAAACAAATTCATTATTTCAATAACAATTATACAAATAAATATAGTTTTGAAAGTACTCTTTGAAAAATATAGGATTCATTTCTCAATATGCTTCAATCCCATCCAAAAACCACCTTCAACGGAAACAAGGATCGAACTTTTCGAAAGAACTAACGGAATCCTTGTCCTTTCTATGGGTACAATTTCAAAATTCAGCAGGAGGTAGAAGAATAAAACTTTCATTTCCAACAAAGCAAATCTGGAGCCGATACAGTTCCTTGGTCCTTGTCCGAAAGGTTGATACGAAAACGGTACTATATTGCTTTTATTTTCGTCATTGAATCTTTCGGGATCAAAACGTTCTGGATCTGGAAAATACTTCGGATCCCGGTGAATTCCAAATTGAGGAAAAACAATAATACTTCCTTTTTCTAAATGTAGAGGTTGTTCTTCTGGAGTTGTTGGAATAATAGTGTAGGCCTCACTACACACTCTTTCTGCAGCAGTTTGGGTCGGCCACTTCCGAAGAACCTCTGAAAAATTGATAATGATAATTTATAATTCGAATATTTGAATATATTGAAATTCTATCTTCCAGAACATCATCGCAATTATTTAGATTCTGATTATAAAAAATGTTTTGTCGTATATCTCTGGAAAAGCGTAAAACTGCAGTCTCGATAAATTGATACCGTCAAAAGATAGGTACTTCACAATAGATTTTTGGCAACGTGAATATTATAGCTGAATCTTGAGGACAACTTTTCTATTTTGGTTTTGAACTAGATGAAATATGTAAAATTGCTTTCACAAACTTATCCTTCAAACTAACCTTCAAAATAATTTTTTCAGAAGTAACAAATATTTTAGTAAATAATCTATTGGCCAGAAAGCTGTTTCAAAGTTTCTTATTTCTGAAATATCAAGAAGATATTGATTTAGAAAAAAAGGGTCGAATGTATTTTCGATGACACGATATACGATACGCACGATAAGGCGTTTGATCGAGTGTCACATCAACAGCTGCTAAAGAAACTGTTGAATTGGTATAAAATCATTCTCCTTTGTATCGAGTTCAAGTGCCACAAGGGTCTAATCTTGGACCGTTGTTATTTATACTATTTATTAATGACTTTGCCTATGATATAATTCCTTATAAAATGCTATTTGCAGATGACTTGAAAGTATATCCAAGATGAAGCAGAATGTTTCACATTGTATTCGTAATGAATTGTACTCAAACACAAATTAATGTGAAATAATGACATTCACACGTTAAATATTACCGGTTACATTCAACTATGTACTAGATGGTGAAAGTTTAACGCGAATCACAGAACCAAATGATCTGGGGATTTTGTTTGATCAAAAACTCACGTTTTCCAATCATTTTCAGAATGTTATATCAACTTCAATGAGAAGTCTTGCAACTGCAAGGAATTTAAGACCTTTCATTCTTTGAAAACAGTTTACCTAACACTGATCAGGAGTAAATTATAGTACTGCACTGTCGTTTGGAATCCGTCCTACAAGAAACATACATCTAGTTTAGAAAGTGTTCAAAAACAATTTGAAAATATGCATATTTCAGAAATAATGGTGCCTATCCCAAGAGGGGTTATAGCTATGACTCATTGTTGGACGAGTTCCAGATGATATCTCTAAAAAAATTCAGGCAAAGCCGACATATGTGTTCTGCATATGAAATAATACATGGACAGGTAGAGTGCTCGCCTCTATTGTCTCAAATGCTATTCAGTGTACCGCGTATTTTATCTAGATTTCATATCCCGGTTTCCAATACACTGATCATTTTCATAACATAACTTTCATAACTACTATATCTAGAAGTTTTAATAATGTTCCTAGTGTGGATATATTTTTTCTAACGTTCAGACAATTCAAAAACGAGATTCTTCGTTTCGTTCAAAATTGATCTTACTATATGTATAATTATCATATTTCTAATTGTATCCACCTGTAAATGGGCCTTTGGAGGTTGCCGGATGTATTCAATAAATGAATAAATGAATATATAAATAAATATTGTGATTATAAGGACCAGTGAATTATTTTCGAAAAATGTTCGCAGAAAGACATGAAAACAAAATGAAAAATGAAAAAGAGAGCATCAGCTTTCACAAAAATTGAAACAGAGATGGGACATTTGTTTGTCGGTGATGATTCATGCCTTCCTTACATGTCTCTTCCTCATCTCATTGATAATCGTATGTATATAATAATAAAACGTTTAAATGATACTTCTGCAGAGGAATTGTCCATAGGAAAAACTGAGTTTTTCCTGAAAAATACCAATGAAAGAAGTGTTAGAGCAAAAGTTGAAGGAATGAGGAGGATTTGAGTTTTCTAGCAAAATCGAAAAGAATGAAGTTGAATGAACGTGATCGTACTATATTCATGAGCTGAACAGATTTATGAATGAGATCAAATATCTAGATGAGAGTAAAAGAAATTATTTTGTTGCATATTTTCTTACACATATACTGTAGTGAATATGTTCAATTGAAACATAGTTTTTGCTAATATGTATCTTCCATGAATCTTCAACCGTAGTTGTCATGAATGATAATATTTATATTATTCACCTGACACAACCATATCCAAATATTTCATATTCACTAGAACGGCATAGGTCAGTTCACCTCCACACTTTTCAAAACTCTCGCTAATTTCCATTCTCAACTTTTCTTGAATATCTTGGTTAACGGCTAATTCATATGCCATGAAACACATCACGGATGATAGTGATTCGAATCCAGCGAAGAAAAATACCAAGGCTTGGGCTGTTATGTCTTCATTTGTTATATTGGTCATGGTGTCACCCTCAACTGGAAAGAAAGAACTATTTGGAACTCTATATTTGAATATCTTGTCAAAAATAACACAATTATGAGGTATATTATAGAAAGTTTTTCACCAACAAACAGATGATTTATTTGAACTACATGATTGAAAGAAATCATCCGGAGAACTTGAAAATCAACTAATCCAAATCAATACGCACATTATTTTCTAGGATATAATGTTTTTTCATATTTATTGTTTATGTTCGTTTTAATGCTAATACTGTACTTAAATGAAATGGATGAACATTTTCGTCGAATTTCCACTGGTTATTTTATTTTTACGGACTAACTTATGGTTAGTTCTTATACTTGATAATGGGATAAAACCCAAAATCGATAGTAAAAATAAAAAAACTAGTGGGAATTAGACAAAAGTGTTTGCATTCATTCCACTAAAGTGATTATGAATTTCCACAAAATAAACAAGTCAACAATTACACAAAAAAGCTAATATTCTCCCGGGTAATTTTATAGTTTTACTCCAAGTTTTTTTCAAAGTCTAATTTTTCGTGAACGAAAACGTGTTTCAACTGCAAATATTCAGATATGAATTGAAAGATGAGGCAAGTGCCAGAGTTCTCTTCAGAAATTCAAGAGGGAGGAAGAGTTAGTCCTCGAAAGAACTATATTTTCATTTAGTATTCATAAATTTTTGTTTTGAAATATCTAAACAAAATTTCTGATGAGAAGTAGTACTGAAAAGTTGGATGAATGATTCAAATTTCATGTACAGAACAACTATAGCCAAATTCAATGAACTGCCCTTTATATTTAGTATATTTCAAGATTCATGATTTCTGTAAACTTAAGAGTAATTCAAAATTGAATGAGCGATGACCACTTTTACTGGAAAGTTCAAAAAATATTCAGGAGATCTAACTATTCTCTAGATCTGAAATGCTAATATCTATTGGTTCTGGTTGAAACCGGAATGCGGTTATGGTCCCAAAAAAAGTTTCATAATAACCATAAGGAATTTGAAATCAGTAGAATTACCAAATTCTTTCCTTTTGTAAAGTGGTAGTGATTACTCATTTATGAGATACGTGATGTAGGTACTTATTCTCGAATCTGGAGGGCTGAACCCAAAAATGATGATCTGGTTATATACAAGGGTAATGGGACCCATGATGGCATATGGTGTAATGACTTGGTGGACAAGAACAAGGCAATCGGATATGGCTAGGCTATTAGGCGGAATACAAAGGCAGGCGTACCTAAGTGTCGCGGGAGCCATGAGAACGACCCCAACTGCAACACTTGATACTCTGACTTCCACCATTGCACATTTACATACAAAGCCCGACTAGTGACACACAGGCTAATGCAGGGGTAAACCCCAACCAGCCAGTCATGCGGTGCAGAATGCTTGAAACTGTACAATGAACTGAAGGCAAATTCAATACTAGGAATGCCCGTGGATAACACAGTTCCGCAGTACAACTTTTAAAAAGATTTCAAAATCATCATACCAATTAGAGAGGACTGGCAAAACGGCCCACCGGTAACAGCGGAAGAAACTTGGTATACAGATGGCTCAAAGACCCAAGAAGGAGTGGGAGCCGGTATACACGGAGGCAGAGCAAAGACGAGAATCGCACTCAGCCTTGGACATAATGCAACTATGTTCCAGGCAGAAGTAGCGGCCTTTGAATATTGTATAGGGGAAATAAACAGGCAGAAGTTCACAAATGAAACCATTGCCTTTTTCTCCGGCAGTTAGCTCAGCTCACTTCAAGTTTTCTCAAGACTGTAGCTAAGTATCCAAATAGGGTCACTCTAGCTTAGGTACCTGTACATGAAGGTATGAGGAGGCTGATGTTCTAGCCCGAGAAGGCGAAATAGCGAAAGAATGTATAAAGGCATCCATAAATTCATGGAAGCAAGCCGAATCGATAGATTGGTGGAATAAACTCCCAGGAATGAGGCAGGCGAAATAGTTCATGAAGAAATCATCGCCCAGTTTCACGGAAGACCTGCTAAGCCACAACCGTAAGATTGTAAGGGTAGTGGTGGATCTACTAACGGGGCATAGCCGACTCAGGAAACATATGAACAACATGGGTCTGACAGAAGAAAGCCAATGCACGTTTTGTCAAGAAGCGATATCCAAGCGAAGCGAGAGCAAGGCTGAGACACGCAAGAGGCGAGGAAGAGAAACCAGAGGCTGCCAGCTATATGAAGGGGTCAGTGTCAGAGCTATGGAGTCTCATCAAAGAGATCAAGCTAGACAATGAGCTCTTACATCCAAGAAGCATCACAATAGATCTTAAAAGGTCGCAGTGTATCAGGCCATGGGATAGCTCCCCGACTATCTGATTCAAACTATTCTTGAAACCTTGGGTTCAATCCTAGACTCATCAATTGATAATAATAATGCTAATGATAATTAATTATTACAATCACTAAATTTAAAAATATTCAAATCTCCCCAATATATAATATCGGATTTCGTAATATAAGGAACCACTCAGTCTCGCAGATATTTTATTTGGTGAATTGAACTATTTTCAAATATATACAATATAGGTAGCGCTTGGAAAAACTTAGTATTCATGTAGAAATCTAATATATTCAATGTACAAATCTAAGGCATGGATGCAAATATTTTAGTATTGTCGATGGTATGGATTGAAGGACAACCATAGTTCATCATCACTTCTTTTTAATTTCGACATAATGACTTTAATCTAAGTACTGGGAATTTTTGTGAATACTTGTTTTCATCATCATTCATTTAACTGGTTCATCTACTTTCTTGCTGCTTTCTGGATTGAAGTATCCATTGTTCTTTCGAATTTCTATTCAGTCGTCTCAATTGATTTTTGGTGAAATAGTTGAATGAAGTGAAAGTTATAAGTGCTGTGTATCCAAAAATGAACTATTGTTGTGATTTATCAATCGTTCATTGAATTCACTTCATTTCAACTTTAGTAGTAGCTGCAGATTCATTTTACACTTCCACAAGTGGAAATGATACATTTCTCCTGAATTGAAACATATTATACTCTACCTACAATATTAGTCACTGCCAAAAGTACAAATTCAATCCTGGGCATCAGGATCTCTTCGAAACAGATCAATACATTAATGATTATTACACAACAATTATTATAGGATAGTTCTCATTATGATTCAACGGTAGGAAAAAATTTGCTAGAGGCGACCCATCAAAATCAATTTGTCCATATATTTATTGGTAATTTATCAGCTTGCAAACTCTCCAAAAGGTTGAGTTCCAAACCTTCTTCTTGGAAATTAAGGGTTTTCAATTCACGATTGAGTCTATATTCCTCAGTGACCAATGTGAACCATCAACATAATTCATGCGATAACTCATAAAGACAACTTTGATCTCCATCTTAACTCAGAGTTATCGATCAACTCTGCAAATGATGAAAATAGTGATCTATATTGGGTGTCACTTGAAAATGAATTGATGTAATTTAGAAATATATTTTACTTTTTTGTAATGTTACTTTGAACCATATGACATCGAAATTTTGAAGTTCTGGTGTTTTCTTTTTATTGGCGAAAGGAGTCACTTTGAACAAGATGAGAAATTCCAAACTCATATCTGAAAAGTGTCACAACCACCTCCTACACACAATGGTGACTTCAAAGCATTCTGAGATATGATTGCAGAACTATTTCCATTTTTACTTTCGACATCAGTTAGAAGGAACATCGGTACCTACAGCAAAAAAAAGTGAGTTGAAAAAAATCTGGTTGGCATGTGATAATAGTAGCGGGTTCTTTTCCAAAGCATATATATTTTCTATTCTTTCTTCTTGCGGTTGCTGTATTTTTCGATATCAAACGAGCATTTGACAAAGCACTTCATAAATCTACAGCATCATCTCTGGCTAGGAAATGTAAAAAATCAACCATAACTGGCTGGATCTATGCCATGCTGGTAAATAAAACTGCAACTACGACTCTTTAAGACGAGGCCATTAGGTTCACTGTTACTAGAGGGTGCCCTCAAGGTAAGGTGGCTCCTGATGGATGGTTTGCTTGACGCCCTCGACAGAAAAAAAGATCTGCAAGCTCATGCTGGTGACCTTGTTATCTTGGCAAGGTGAACGTCGTGAAGGGTGGCTTGTAATCTCCTCCAAAACACGATGGACGTTGTTCACAGTTGGTGCCTGAGGAAACAGATGTCTGCCAACCCCAGGAAAACTGTGATAATCCCCCTCACCAGGAGGAGAAAATTGGATGATCGCCTTAGGCTTTGTCAAGCAAATAGTGATCACCTGTATGGTAAAAAGATTTATAGACTTCTGGCAGAATCTTCCAGGATTGGCTCACTCCGAGGCGTTTATTCACCCTTCGAAGCTTGATACAGCAGTTGTTGGTATACAGTAGGAAAGAAGTATGATGTCTAACAGGCCTTTTTACAGGTCACTGTCATTTGAATCTTCATATGCAGAAACTCGGACTGTCGGAAGACAGTGTGTGTGGCCTCTGTTTAGAAAATGATGAAACAGCAGAGCACATACTTTGTGCCTGCACCGCTGGGTACCGAATCAGATGTTTAGAGTTCGAAAGAGCCGTACTCTTACCATCTGACCTGAAAGATCACTCACCATACAAACTAATCGGCTTCGTTAAGAAGCAGGGTTTATTTGGTCGAGTGTGAATAGGTGTTAGCCACAATAAACCCTCGCGTGTTGTGATGAATGGTTAAATAGATCCAGTTAATTTGGATCTAACCTAACATAACCTAACCTACGAGAATCAAGCCTTTGTGCAGGTGAGATTTTCACTCACTAATCTTCTCAAGAACAAAATAAACATGAATTCGAAGTTTTGGTGATATGTAGCCTCATAATGGTCTTATTGTTTGATATCTTGTGAAAGTAAAATGTTCATTGATATTTCACACGAAACGGTGACAAGGCTATAATGACAAAAATTAGCCCAACAATATGTGACAATTTCATTTTATTACCTGATTCTTGAACAGAAGCATATCCAGTTTCTTCAACACTAATCTCTTCTTCCTTCACAATTCCTGATCGTGCTTCCATCAATAAATGTATCATATCAGGCCTGACTATACCTCTTTTTTCTCGAGCTTCAACAGTTTCATCGATTAACTTTCTGAAGAATGAACTCACATCGTGGTCGAAAAATTTCAGATTGAAAAGCTAGAATAAAGTATTCACTGAATAGCAAAAATAAATAAATACAGCAGCATATTTTAAGTTTCCAAATGAATGGAATGCCGCTATTAATCCTTCCCAGTTGATATGGGCGATTTTCATTCATTAAAACTTTCTCTCTTAGAGTATGAAATGACTAAATTATAGGAAATCAAAATGAAACTTTACCAACCGAAAAACGCTAATTATTATTTTGTACGTCTGTTCACTGAAAGCTTTCATTAATATTTATATACAGTGTGTAATAGCCAACTGAAATGAATTCATTATTTCGATTACTGAACATACAAAAAAATCCCGACAAACGTCAAATTAAAATTATAATTACATATTCTTCAACGTGAAAATGCCACCCCTACCTTCAACCCCCTTCAAATGACAGGTAGAACCCCCAATTTTTTTAAATGGAAAGTATAGGTTTGTGATATATCGTTCAAAAGGTCTCTTCATTCTCTATTCCGAAATGTTATCGCTTTCAAGTTTATTGCAACTTGAAATAAATTGAAATCATGTAGTTACCGAATTTCGATAGAATACACTGAAAAACTAAAATGTAATGCAAACCGTAATAAAATGTAGAAAACGAAGAAGAACTATGGATTTTAACGAAGTAGATGTTCAAAATGTTCATCGGGAACATCTTGGCAACATCCTTATCTCGAATAAAACTATCTTCTAACATTATTTAACATATTAGGCGTGACCAACCTAATCGCAAGCGTTATTCGTTCATTCAAGTCATTCAAATCTGAAGATTCGATTTTGTACACATTACACTCAACATATCTCACTTTACATATCCCCTTTACGATCTAATGATGAAAGATCAGGTGATCGCGCTGGCCATTCAGTCGATCCTTGCCTCCCTCCCTATCCACCGATTAGGAAATGTTGTATCGAGGTATTGCCGGACATAAACTTGGTAATCTGGTGGTGCTCCATCCTGATGAATCCATATCGTATTCACTGGAACTTGATGCTTTCCTGGATTAGGATATAAATTTGCTGAACTTGGAATGATATCATTTTGAAGTAGTGCCAAATAATTATCGCCATTCAAGTTGCCTTCAATGAAAAAAGGACCAATGATATAGTTTCCTACAATCCCTGCCCAAACATTAACCTTTAGAGGGTATTGCGTGTGTTCTTCTCTCATCCGGTGAGGATTTTCCGTTAACCAGTATCGGCAATTTTACCTATTAGCATGACCGTTAAGAGATGAATCACACTCATCAGAAAACATAACTTCTTCTTACTGGATGATATTGTTATCCAACATGTCCATCATTTGCTCACAAGAATGAGTTCTTTAAAAATCGTTTTCCATGAGCTTCTGCGCTTCTGACCAAGCTCGCAAAACTGCTTCTCAATTTTACTTATTGTTCCTTGAGATATGGTAATAAATTTCTCATGGAATAGGCCAGCTACTCCAAGTTGTGTTCGAATATTATCTCCGTAACCAATCATTTGTGAAACTGTTATTTCATGCATTTCTAACCAGTCAAACATCAAGTCTATGAACTTCAAACTCAAATTAAAATACTGACAACTAATGTAACATACAAAACAAGTTGACAAGGCGTTTTGAACTAACGTTGTCACGAATATCATTTACAGTTTTTTAAAAGATACCATCTAAAAAGAATATTGCTATTGTTTTTGCTTACTTCTTTATTATCAATACCTCAACATGAAATGAGTTTTGAGAATATTGCCAATAAGTTTTGAGTATATTTTATCGAATTTCAGTTACCGCGTCCCCAGGTGGCGGATAGGGGAACGGCCAGGGGACTGGAGGCCCTGTCTGGGAAGCCAATGTGGCCTCATGGACGGGGTTGCCAGACTCCTGGTCAGTGGCAGAAATAAGTAGGGTGAGGGGAACTAAAACCCGTGGACCAGCCGACTCAAGCTAAGGTTTAAGGAATCGTGCCGACAGCTGAATGGCCGCAGGGTGATATGCGGTTACGAACGATCATCTTGGGGAACTGGGCGAAACTTATTTTGATTAGCCTACCTCAGGTAATGCGAAGCTCTGCCAGAGGTTACGAACTCTTCCCTTTGCTACTCGTGGGAACACACATGAATGAAACAAACACAAAAACAGAAATAAGAAAAACCAATCCCGGGGCTGGACAGAAGTGCTCACTTCAATCCTAGACGGTAGCTGGGGATGAACAGAAGTAACCACTCCAATCTACCGCTTGGAATGATGCTGGCAAAGGCCAAGGCGTAAGAGCATTTGCGGCGCTGAGGTCAAAAGGAGAAGAGAGCGAAAAAGGCAGGAGTGGCAGCAACTATAAGTACACCCTCCTCCTTCTCCACTCCACCTCCAACAGCTAAGACCCTTCTGCAGCGGGCGCCAAGAACTCCGCTTTGAATAAAGGCAAGGAACCGGCTGCATCTGCAGGAAAGCTCCCTCACTTGTGCACCTCCACGGAGGGAACCCCAAGAAGCTTGAAGAAGCCATGCAACGACAGTAATGTCGCTGCACCTTCCAAAACCTCAAGGTTGCCAAAGAGAGTGTGTTTTCGGCAAGTCTTGGCCTACACCTGCCAATATAAAGGAGATGTCTCCTAGTGACCTGTCCAGCTTCCTGGAAAGGACAGGATGGACGATGACCTAGGAGGACAACTCCTCGGGAGGATGTACAATGAGTCACATGTGGCCTAAATGCTGTGGGTCTACACTCACTGTCCCTACTCTATAGATGCAGAAACGCAAACGATTTATCACAAGCCAATACTTCGCATTTGGAAATTGTACCTGTCATTCGACGGGAGTTGAAGGTAGGAGTAGCATTTTTCCGTTGAAGTATGTCAAATTTCAATTTAAATTTGACGTGTTTCGGCATTTTGTTAAAATATGTACCGTAACCAAAATAATGAATTTATCCCATTTGGTTTTTACATAGTGTATATTATTCACATTTCTCTTATGGAATATGACTAACAGTCAGCAGAAAAAAACAAAAAAAAGACATATTCGACAGGATATGATTTCATATATCCGATAGACATGTTTGAAGAGGTGAAGTTTCAGAATTGAAATATTCAAAAATAATGAACGACTCCAAAGTGAGTCTGATGAATCTTCAAAGAAAAAATATGGATGTATTGAAAAAATAAATATTTTGACATGGAAGTCAGTTTTCTCAACACAGACTGGTTTCAGTGTACTACTCCGCGTATGTGCAGGACAAATCGAACCAAGACAGCAGTATGACTGGGACCCGAATAACGAATAACTTCATCGTATTTTGACTGATGAAATTAACCACCACCTAAGACAAGAACGTCAACAGCTCCATCTCATAAACCTAGCTCCGATTACCAATCAGTCAATTTTCAATCATATGAGGTTAGGTTAGGTTAGGTTAGGTTAGGTTAGGTCTATTCGACCCTCCATCGCAACCCGCAAGGGTTTATTGTGGCTTACACCTATCTACACTCCACCAAATAAACCCAGCTTCTCAATGAAGCCGATTAGTTTGTATGGTGAGTGGTCTTTCAGGTCCAAGCAGAGACGACACACACTGTCTTCTGACAGTCCGAGTATTTGCATATGATAATTCAAATAACAGTGACCTATGAGAAGGCCTGTTCGACATCGTATGTCATCTCTACTGTAGTACAACAACTGTTTGGTATCAAGCTTCGAAGGGTAACTGAACGCCTTGGAGTGTGCAAATCCTGGGAAATTCTGCCAGAAGTCCATAAATCTTCTTGAAATCCAGGTGTCCAATCTTTGTTTGGCAAAGCCTAAAGCAGTGCCAATGACAGGTTCTGGTGCGATGAAGCTGCTTGCACCACTTCAATCATATTACTACTTCTTAATGTTTCGCAATGAGATGAGTCGACACAGCACTTTCTAGTGTTGAATCACGTATGTTTTTTTTAGCCTCTGGTTTTAACTACTCACCTTATTTTGAAAGAAAGAGGATGAATCTCGTTCTATGGCCAATGTCGAAGCTCAGCTTTGTAACTGATCGCTTTGGATAGTCCCGTTTATTTTTGTTATTCGTGAATTGATTCTTCTGTCGATGGGACCTCTGAAATGGAAGATGTGCATGCTTGCTCATACCCAAGAACAGTTGATTCTTAGAAGTCGTTCGTAGTTCAGCCCAGTATCACTGATGAGATGCTAAAGGCGAATCGAAATAGAGATGTCTGTTATTTGACTTTCATTTCAATTACTTTCGATGTTTGTGAATTGAGATGCCATTGAATGTATGATAGCAGTAAGTGTAAAACTGGACAATGATATTGTGGGCTCTTGATCAGTTCAGCGAGCAAACGAAAAAAATTCGGTTAGAAAAAGTAGCATACTATCATGTGGAGAAAAACGTAATGAGTCTGGAAATACAAAGCTTGTATCGAATGGTTATTATCCATAGGAATTTCAGGAAGCTCATTTTTCACTGCCTGAACCACTGTGCATGCTGTTTTTGGCGAGTGCATTGGCTTGGGATGTGAAGGTTGAGCAAACCGGCCATAGGATGCAAGCTTCCACGTAGCCCCGCTGCATCCCTAACTGAATGGCATCCCAACGATGGCTTAATCCTGAAGTGTGTGTATCCGTGCTGAGAGGATAAATGACACTGAGCCTATCAGCTGTCTCTACGAAACCTTCGAGATACCGGGCGCCCTCTCGTCGTAGCATCGCTTTGTCACGGTAATGCGGGGTTCTGCCGGGATTGACTTTCTTTCCCTAGCCACTCGTGGAAATTTTATGGACAGAGTAAATTTTTTACTGACGCTGAGTCTACAGAGGAGATGGATGTCGAGCCTACGACTCCAACTGAGCTCCCAGTAAATTTAGATCAGGAGCGAGAGCTTCTCAACTCTCCAACTCCTGATCCAATAACTGAACCTTAAAAAAGGTTTGGTGGTGCAGCCAGGGAATGACTGAGTCGTCTCCTCAAGAGCGGCGCACCTTATGAAATCATCATGCAGCAAATTCTTGAGCGGCGTACGCAAAATCTGCCTCAGGTGGAGTAACAAACCTCCCATGAGAAGATTAACAAACGTTTTCGCTCAAGTGATGATTCACCAAAACTAGAGGCGAAAAAGCCCTGCACGGTTGAATCTAAGAAATCGTCAGGTGTAGTGTAGCTGACGTGCTAAAACTCTCATATGGAAAGGTTGTCGCGGATATCAAGGTGGGAGTCTTGCACCTTGACTATCCGACTACCTCATTAATGATGAAACAGCAGAGCATATACTTTGTGCCTGACCCGCTGGGGACCGAATCAGGTTTTTAGAGTTTGGCAGAGCCGTACTTTTACCATCTGACCTGAAAGACCACCCACCGTACAAACTAGTTAGCTTCGTTAAGAGGCTGGGTTTATTTGGTCGAGTGTGTATACGTGTGAACCACTATAAACCCTTGCGGGTTGCGCTGGAGGTTCGACCTAACCTAACCTAACCTTCACTTGTTTCCGTTTCAAAAAATGAATTGGCACGTAATTTGAAAAATATTTGTGAACATTTTTTTCTCTGAGTGAATCTGATGCTTCAGAAAATAGCAACATATCAGCGATTCAGTCAAAGAGGGTTTGACGTCATTAGATATAGGAAATATGTGGCCGGCTAGGAAACGCTATAAATATCGAAAGTTCCTGTGTTATCGATGTAAAAGAATAATGGATGGACAAGGTGGACAAAATTGAATTTTTCGAATAAATCAAGGCATTCCAATTTATCGCTTCACTTTCTTTTCTCATTAGCTGACCAGGTGAACTTCGTACCGCCTCAGAATTAAATACCGCTTTGTTAAACTTATTGGTTGAATTATATATATATGCTTTATTATATCGTGTTTCTGATACGTTCTTTGTGAATAGGTGCACATATCTCGTGACGCCGTACTATTTTTTTACAGAAGTGCAGTTATGGAGTCCCATATCTTGATAACAATGATGTTGATTTGAAATTTATGCCATTTCGTTCTGACTGACAAGTATTATCAAATCATATGAAACTTTCCACAAAGATAAATTTGATTGAATCTAATCAAATCAAATCATTATTTCTTTAAAACAACATACAGTTGTATAAGAAAGAGTCATGGTTACAACCGCATGGTAGGAGGGTTGGGATTTAAATGAAGAAATTTACAAAAGGGAGATAACAGTTGGTACATTAAGGACTATATAACACTATGAAAACATGTTGTTAAACGTTGTTATATTAGAAGAACCACATAAGATGCATATACATAATACACAGAATATTGACTTGCATAAAAATACATATGCACATTAAATACAAGTTCAAATCAAAAGTATTCATTTGAAGAGTGTAGAAATTCCTCAACCAGGTATCCTTTGAGTTTTTTATGAAAGTACGTTCATGTTTTAAGCTTTTGATGGAGGAAGGTAAGTTGTTGAACATCTTCGCGCTGATTCGATCTGGAGCTTTATGGGGAATATTGCGTTTAGAGAGTGGTAATCGTAAATCATCCTTACAACGATTATTGTATTCGTGGAGATCGTTATTTATGAAAAACAAATCCCCATTCTTGAACACATCAATACAGAATTCAAATACGTAGAGGCCTGTACAGGTCAGAATTTCAAATCTTTTGAAGATTCCTTGACAAGAATAGTCTTTTTTCACATCAGCAATACACCTATACACCTAATGATTTTTTTCTGTGAAAAAAGGACAATATTCGACAGTGTAGAGTCTCCCCATAGGCAAATACCATACCTCAGTCGACTTTCCACTTGTGCTTAGTATAAGTTTATTAATTGTTGCTGTGTCAAAACAACTTTCAGATTTCTGAACATATAGTGGAGAGATGAAAGTTTGAAAATCAGGAGCTTGCAATATAGGTAGATGTGAGTCAACGAATAGTCCTAAGAGTTTACAGCTGTTATTTATAGTCAGAGGTGTGTTATTTAAAATTACATCTACATCCACCAATTCCCTCTGATGACTATGGAATTTCACAAGGTTAGTTTTGTCTGCATTGAAATGAAGAGTGATTTGATTGAACCAAGAAGTTGGTTGGCATAGAGCAGTTTCACAGGTTTTTTAGTTCTATTCAATTTTTGTTGGAAATCAGTAGAGAAGTGTCGTCTGCATAAATAGTCATTTCAATATCCGGAAAATAATTTGACATTTCATTTGTGTACAAAATAGAAAGAATTGGGCCCAAAATATGTCCTTGTGGATCCTATATTAGTATCGGTATTGGCAAATGTAACATTACGAATTATATTATTTTGATGATATTTCAGACTCACATATTGAGAACGACATCTAATAAACGATTCTAACCATAATAGGCAAACACCTCTAATACCATAGTTTCACAGCTTTTACAAAATAATATCAGTCGAAAGCTCGACTCGTTTCACAAAAAATGCCCATTGGGACCTCTCCTGGTCCTATATGGTTTATGAGATTGTCATAGAACTCATAGATTGCGCTAGTTGTTGATTCTTCAGGTCAAAAACCATGCTAGATATTTGTCAAATTATTATGCCCATTGATAAAATTCATCAGCCTGTCCAAAAATCCATATTCGAAAACTTTCGAGAACCTACTGCAAATCGTTATAGGTCTATAATTTTCCAAGTAATCGGGACAGTGTTTTTAATGACTAGAAATGACTTTTCCTTTCTTGACCTGCAGATGTTTTATTTTTCAGCCTATCACTGAGCAGATTGAATAATTCATTAGGTGAAAACGGTCTGAGAAATAGAGAAGGTATAAGAACTTCTCAGGTATTGTTTCCTGCAGTATTTGACTGGTTGATATTTTCTTTGTGTTCTAGCAGGACATTTAAAGAAAATAATAAACAGATCTGATACAATAACTGGGGTTTCCTGTATTATATCATTGTGGAAAACATTGATATTTTTGTGTCCTGTTTTGTTCTTTCCATTGACTTATGAACATTTCCGAATCATCGGAGTTGGGGATCCCTCCTTTCTGAACATGAACGCTGAAAGTAGCTCGATTCATTGAGTGGAATAAAAATAGTAGTAGTATGAATTCAGCTCAAAAGTTGACTCACCCTATATAGTTTTGGCGCCAGCAGATATCCCAAAAACTGAAACGTTTTCTTCAACGTGTTGAGATTTGTAGCTTTCATTCCCATTAGGAAAAACTCGTTGTTTGGGTCTGCCAATGAGTCTACCTTAACGCCAAATGCTGTAGTTGCAATGACATCATTACAGAATCGAGTGCAAGTATCTTTCATATCAAGAGAAATTATATCTTGATTCTGCTTTGAGAAGTGTTCCACAAGACTTTCAGCACAATCTTTTATGAGAATGAACATTCTCTTCATTTTGCTGCTGGTGAAAGCTGGACTCAATGTGGATCGCATGTTCCGTCATTTTGAACCTTGAAAATATAAATCGTTTTGAATTTCTCATGATACCATAACTAACCACAACTTTTTTTGTGAGATTGAGAAAAGAATATGTTGAAATATGACTGCTGAGAAGTTCCAAATGTTTACCTTTCAGAGCAAACAAATTTTTAGCCCACAATGGGTCCATGTCTTCAGGAACATATGTCCGTCGGTCTGTGAAATGATCGAAGTTCTTGACCAAGATGAGTTTCATCAGTTCTGGATCTCTGATAACTAAAACTGGTGCATTCATTTGATAAATTCCGCTGTATCTGAAATAAATAAAACCCAATTGATTATGATGACTGTTACCTTCTATTGAACCAAACACTATAAATAAAAAGAAATACGCAAATAAGTGAAATATATTTTTTGAAAAATATTATTTTTTGTGGAACAGTAGATATTTCTTGATGTTTCTAATGTTGCTAATTAGTCAGTAACAAAATATGCTACAATCATATGATGAAAATGAATACTTTATCGTTAACGTGTTAGGAATCACACGTTGAAAGGTAATCCTATGCTCGCACAAGTTACGACTTCTGGGGGCTGTCGTTCGTAGGGGGGCGACAGCTGGTTAACGAAAAAACAGATATTGAACAGATTTTTTGTGATTTTCGTGCTGATTCATCAGCACGAAAATCATTTCTTGCATGAAACTATTTCCTCGAAGTGATATGATAAACCCATTATACATTTGAACTGTGGAAAAATATGTTACGCTACTATCTTATAAGACGTAGATGAAGTATATGTCAATATACATAGTCAGATAAGTGAAGATGCTCATGGGTTACCTCCATTGTGTGGCAGAACATTGTCAATAATCATAATGAATTTCATTAGTTCGGACTTCCATTGTCTGATGCTATTAAAAATGATTTGAAATACCTGAAAGGACTGATGGAAGTAGAAGAATTAAAAATAGATAGCTGAAAATAACAATTATATTAAGCAAAGAAAACTTGAAATGAAATAAAAGTGGAATAAAATACAAGTAAAAATAGAACAATTGAACAAAAAAGAAAAATATGGAATGGAAAGTTGTGAGATTCCAAGCCAAGTTACTTCACGACGTTTCGATTGTTGCTATCCACAATCGTCTTCGGGTGATGACTGGAATAGTATTTCTCTGAGAGATGACTATTTATGGGTCATTCGAGTACTCTCACTTCTCTCCGCTTTCCTTTTTCCGCTTCACCGGTTCAGTAGGAGGTGACTCTTTGGAATTTTTCGCTTGATTATGGGTTTCCATATGTTGCGTATCTCAAGATAGCTTGGCTGAATACATTGTTGGACAACATGTATGCGGGTTCTTTTGATTTCCTCCTAAACCAATGTTACTCCTTGTTACCAACTTGGGACAACTCTATGTTATGTTGAGGGGTTCAAACATACTCTGCTAATCCTGATTTGCTGGTTTCCCCTCGCTCTGTGTGTTTCTTGTGCTCGGTAACGCGAACATTCAATGGCCTCTTAGTTTCATCGATATAGGATTTTCCGCACTCACAAAGTATCTGGTAAATGCAGTTCTTGGAATCGCAGTTTCCATTTGATAGCCTGGTTTTCGTGAGGCTGTTACAAATAGTGTTTCCGAGTTTGAAGCAGGTTCTGATGTACTTGGATACAATTCTTTTTATCCTTTCCGATAATCCTCTGATGTAGGGAAATGCAAGCACTGGTTGTGACGACTTCTCTTCCCTACGAGGCTCCTGCTGTCTTTTAGCCAAAGTCTGCTCCACCATCGCTTTGAAGTAGCCATTCCGTTGAAGATCATTTTTGATGTTGCCTAGTTTCTTCTTGAGACCTTCCTTCGTATTACAGAGCCCGAAAGCACGATCCAGTAGAGTCAAGATGATTCCTCTTTCAGTCGATAGATGGTGTTTGGATTCGTGGTTCAGATACTAACCTGTGAGAGTGGGTTTTCGGTATACAGATGTTTGCCACTTAGTGTCGATCCTCGATTCATGTTTCAACAATATTCAGAACTATATTGTGGTTGATGTGTTACGTGAGCTTAGTTGCAAATGATAGATATTTATAGAAATTAACTACAAGTGGTTATATAAAATTGATTCTTAAAATACGACTGTGCTGTATTTTATCTGTTATAACTATCCATGTGACTCCTGTATGCAAAACTGGTGCCATCAGTGGTGTCAGTCTGAACCACGAATGCATTGCTAATAGTAATGTTCTTCAAGGACAACCCTGAGAAAGTTGAGGCGATGAAATATTCACGAGTTCCCAAGAAGGTCCTTGACAAAGCAGAACTTCCACTGCGAAGTATCTAGTTGGTTTCTGATTTGAGAGACAAAAAAACCAGAGCTAGATAGCTCTGGGTTTTCACCAAAAACTTGCATATATCCAGCTGAAACTGAATATACATTTTTTTCTTCTCTTCGACCCTTAGATAATTGGTTCTGGAAATGGGAAGTATTTCTATGATTCAGCTAATTGTATAGATTTGGACAATTCAGATGCCAGTGTAACAGGTGCATAAAAACGACCACTTTGAAATGTTAACAAAATTTAAACTCGAATAACTTTTTTAATTCCAACCCAATTTTTATAATTCATTTAATGAATTTATCCCAGAATAATTCACATCAAAAAGATTTCAACACATTACTGTGATGAAACACAGCATTCGAATGACACTCAAAACCATCCTGTATGCAAGCTTGATTCATTCCCTGTATATACGTTCTTCAATAACTTTCATAATACTATTCGTTTCAAATTCAAGAGTTATTGCTTTAGCAATGCATATTATCTGCGTGTTTTTTATTCTTTGGAATGATTATACAGTGCATTTATTTGAAGAAATGCACTGTATAATCATTAATGTCACCCCCCCTTTCATTTTTTGAACGGGTCAACTCAAAACATTGAAATAGGATAATGGAATTAATGCATAAATACTTCATTTTGAAGTGAAATTGACAGATGAAACTTTCAAGATGGCGACTGGACCCTGCCGTATGTTCAGTATTGAAGCAGGTTAAGTTTCATACACTTTCTGCTTCAAATAGCCTCATAAAAAGTCCAAAGGTGTCAAATCTGGCGAGCGGGCTGGCCATTCTGTAGGACCTAGACGGCCAATCGAACGAGCGGGAAAAGTAGTTTCTAAATAGTTTCTTACTTGTCGGGAGTAATGTGGTGGTGCTCCATCTTGTTGGAACACAATATCCATATCGAATTCATTAGGATTCGCTTCGACGATTTCAGTGATGAGAGGGTCAACAGTAGTTTCCAGCATATTCAAATACAGTTGAATTTTGATAGAGGTCCTACAATATGGTTTCCCAATATTTCTGCCCAAACGTTAATTTTTTCAGGATATTGGGTATGTGTTTCCCGGAAAACGTGGGGGTTGGTATCACTCCAATAACGGCAATTTTGTCTGTGAACATTGCCGTTTAAAAAAAATAACATTCGTATGTATTCTTCTTCAAAAGTCTACACATCGTAAAAGGAGACACCTCACAAATATTCGCGACGGTATAAGTAGACTGATCAGGATTTTCTACCATCTGATCAATTATTTGCACTTGCTGTTCTTCCGGAATGGACGAAAGAACTGCGGGCTTTTTGTTATGTACACTACCGGTAGTTGTGAATTTGGATACAAGTTCCTTCAAATATTTTCTACAGATAAGACGATTCGGGAAACGTTAATTGAAAATCCTTTCAGTTTCGTGGAAGTTACCGTAAATAAAAAATCGCTTAAATTTTTCCTTCCAATGGACGAGAATTGACATTTTAGAGATTGTTGACGTGGTACCTTTCCATTAGTAAAACCGAAAACTAAATGAGAATATTCTAACTGAACCATGATGTTCATTGTCGTTCTGACATTTTTTGTCATTTTTATAAACAAAAAATAACTTAAGAAACCTCATCATGTTATTGGAATTACCATATGCCAGATAAAAATAAACATTTCTATAAATATCGATATTAATGTGTTAGTCTTCAGGAAATTATTGAATGTTTCGCCATTTTGTAGTGAAGGTGAAGATATTGATTTCATATTCTGGGGTTGTGAAGTATTCGTCAGGAGCTTCAAAATGATGTTTGACAAGACCCCATTTTCATAAAAAAAAATTCCAGATGGCGTCTAGTCGCCATCTTGGAAGTTTCATCTGTCAATTTCATTTCAAAATGAAGTATTCAATCATTAATTTCATTATCCCGAATTTCAATTTTTTGAGTAGATCCGTCCAAAAAATAGAAAGGGGGGACATTAAAGAAATGCAATGTAGAAGAAATAACCACTATTGGATAGCAACAGTAGGGAACGGTTGGAAGGAAAAATAATAAACCAATTTTTCATTATCGGATGCCATCTCCTCCAGCTTGGACAAGAGCTTCCATTCTGCAAAGCGTTCGAATATACTTCTGGAGTATGTTATTCCACTCCTATATTAGCGCAAAATGGAGTTCATTTTTGTTTGTAAGTGATATTTCTCGACTTGTCACACGTCCTAACATGTTCAGTAGGAATTGCATTCAGAAAGCATACTTGATCGTTGCAAATGACAAATAAGTGGAGAAAATTCAATGTTTTATTCAATAATTCATAAATTTGAAACCTGCGTTGATGTCAAAATGAATGAGGACAATGTATGGAAAATCAAGCGAGCTTGCATACAGGATTATTTTGAGTGTCATCCAAAAGCTATATTTCCTCACAGGGTGTCATAAACCTTGATGATAGAAACTTAATCTTGTTTTTTCTCAAAATATAATCTCGAAAATATAATTCATAAAACTCAAACTGTACTCTACTGAATGTCTGTATGAGGAAACGCAGTTACTGAAAACGTGAAAACTCTATATCCACCAATGTTAAACTTGGGTGTATACAAACAAATTTACACTTCAATCAACAAACAAAAGAAAACAAACAAGATCCGTTACTAGTTCATCCATAAACATACCAACATTTAATAAAAGTCACACACAGAGATGTATTTTCTTCATGTTCCAAAATTATTCAATCTTCTGCCAGTTAGCATAAGAAACAATTTCAATCTCAATACATTCAAAGAATCAATCAAAACATTCATTATGTTCAATACCGAACTTCTCCATAAACATAAACGATGTTCAGCAAGCTCTTCATCATTCCCAATACGTTATTAATCAATTCTGTAAGTTGTGATGTACTGTTTGGAACCTTTGGTGTAGTAATGAATATTACTGGAGTTTTTTCCCAACACCAAATCGTTATTTTGACACCTCGACACGTGTTTCGATCACCAAGTGATCATCTTCAAGAGGAAGATAAAACTCTGGAAGATGATCACTTGGTGTAGGTGCATCCCTCCTCACACAGAGAGTAATAAAACTGTATATGTACATTGTGAAAATTATTCTTAAAAATTTTTATGTCAATTGAACTAGGATAAATTCCCTTCCATATACTGAAAAAAATCATCAGAATGGGACTGAAAACAACAAAATTTCGAAATTAAACATTGTTAAGTTTTCAATGTGGTCGGTTTTCATGCACATAGATAACAATTAATGATCATTACAGAATCATTCTGCTCACCTTTCGTTTGGAAATTGATCATACATGTTCTTCACATAAAGGGCCACACTTTGTCGTCCAAAAATGGAGAACCAGTTGAACGAGAGGGCTCGTAAAATGCTTTCTTGTTTAACTCCTTTTTCGTTCCAGTAACTGAGTGGTTTCACCAGTAACAAATAGAGGAGAATGACCACAGCTACCAGAATTCCGATAATTAGCATCATTTTTTTCTGAAAAAAATGGACATTTTTATAGTATTTCAAATATAACGTAACAAATCACCTCACAATTCTTTCATTTCACATTTGCAACACTGTGTATTATAATGCCAACTTGGTTGGCGTTATAATGGATGATGGAAGGCGTGTTGAGATGGGTGTAGTAATTTTATTTAATGTTGTAAGAATTATTTCTTCAATTGTCTGAAGGGCATTACTGATTTCAAATATCAAATTGAATGAATCATTGAAAAAATTGACACTAGAAATAATGAAAGATCATCAAACTGACATGTATGAGAGGAACTCATCTGGTACGGACTCATTTCCTGTAACAAATGCTGAGGATGAAATATTTTGAGATCAAGCTGATTATCGGCTATTGCAAAATTCTGATAGAAAGTCAAAAAGTGAAGGAGATGATATCAGCATACGAATAGTCAGAAAAGGTGAAAATCATACTAATCACAGAAGGAAGAAACGAATGTCAAGGTACGGAATGGAAAATGCTGTTTCACGATTTCTATTGAAAATGCATCTCTTATCAAAAAAAAAAACAAAAATGAAAGTTGTAGGTGATATGAATATCGTATTCAAGAAACATTTCATTGTGAGATGTTCACCAAACTATTTCACACAAATATATTAGTTAGTATAGTTAGTATAGACACTTCCGAAGAAACTATTGAATAGCTTTTAGTTTCGCTACTAACTAGTATAGACACGCCTGAAGAAGCTATTGTATAGCGTTATAAGTGATTCTGAAAAATGTTGCAATGCTTTTAGAACGGAGAAATATTGTCGTTGAAGGCGATGATGGCTTTGTAGTGTCAAAATATCCATCAAGGTCGGATAAATTAGACAAAAGTTTCCTACTTTGGAGAACGAGTATAATATATTGAACGAAAGTCATTTTTTGTGGAGGAAAATCAGTTTTTCATCGACCTTTTTGCGTATTTTCACCTTCCACAATCTGAAAACTATGAAAATTATAATGCAGAGCAGGTGTAGAAAAGGCAAACTTTTTAGTCTACTGGTAAGTTACTGAGTAAAATCAAAGTATTTTTCCACAAAGAAAAAAGTTTTATTCATCAGTGACTCATCGTATTCAAAATTTTATAAATTGAACGTTTCTCTTCGTGAAAAATACTTCGATTTTACGCAGTAAATTATAGGGGTGAACTGAAAAGTTTGCTCTTTCTGCACCTGTATAAAATTCTCCATTATAATTTTCATATTTCAATAGCCAATAAGTCAATAGTATAATATGTTTTCAGACAAAAACATCACTGTTTTTTTGATATCAGCCAAAAACTGAAATGGTCGAATGTCGTTTTCAGCTCCACCCCTACCATTTTGAATGATGTAAAAGAAACAGAAAAACTATTAATACTCTCCCATATTTGTTATAATGTGATATATCAATTTACAATGCGACGTTTTGATAACTGTATTTCATCATCAACTTTATTGTCTTAAATACGGACCTGTATTATATACATAGCTAGATGTATTATATGTATTTGAAAATCTTAAGTTGATGGAATCTTAAAAACGAAATGTCATATTGCAAATTGGTTTATGTCAGATTATAGTAAATATCAAAGAGTTTTGAAAGTTTTCTTGCTACATTTTCAAATATCCCAAATGGAGGCGGCAGAGCAAAAAAAGGAGTTCGACAATTCTAGTTTTGGGCAAATGTTTCAAAGACAATCACTGATATTTCCGATCTGAAAAGAAATTATTCAAGTTTTTGACATAGAAAATATGTGTCCAATTCCAGCGAACTTGTAGTTCTTACCGTTTTCGAAATAGCAACGGTCTCTATATTCATCCAGTATGAAATGTAATTGAAATCTGTTTACTAATTATTGTATATTGAAAAAATTGCAGCAATGATTTTTCTAGCCGAAATCATTAGAAACCAAATATTCAACTGAGGAAACAAATAATTTTTTCAAGTTTTTTTTGTTATATCCCATATTGAAATGATCTGCAATTTTTTTCATCACTACATATTATGAATCGAAGTGCTCTTGTCATGTCAGGACTGCCTGTGATATAGATGATTTGAACAAGTCCAGAGATTTATAAATAAGGCGCCAGATGAAAAATATTTGATGAAAAAACTTGCTACTATTTTCGGAATATATGGAGCCTGCCGGAGTGAAGGGCTGTGCCATTTATTAATACAAGACATTAAATCAATTGATGAGTCATGGAGTGTCCAAATTTTAAATACAAAAACGAAAATAGGTCGTTTTTTTGCATTGTTGGAAGAAACATAAACTACTTCAATATATACGTTGCATTATGTTGCATCAATCATCAATGTTTTCTTCTGAAATACTGAAATCATAAATGCAGTGCCCAGTTGATATAAACACGTTTGCTGAGTTTCTGAAACTTCAGGAATCAAAGGAAGATACAGGTCACTGTTTCAGAAGGTCTTCTAGTTCTTTGCTAGCAGAATCAGGAGCAACTATAATGGATATTGAGGAGCGCAGAGGATGGAAGTCTACAATAGTAGCTGAGGGTTACATGGATCGGTCTATTTCTCATAAATGATTTTGTTCAACTGTCAATAAGAGTGACATTTTCAATGGTTCAAGTTAAGAGTATTGAAAGATGATGTTCACAAATCAGCGGGTTAGAAATATTTTCAACACTGGTGTTAATTTCAACACTTACATTTGAACGTAAGAGTTTTTGATTACTTGGGCCAGCAAGAACTTTGGATGTGACTTTAAGTAAAACGCGTGAGCTGTAAACAATACTATTTGTTGGTAAACAGGTGATTCGGCGTCACCTGACACGGCCACTTCACAGCAAATGCGATAACATGAAAATAGTCAACTGACAGATGTCAATTGTGTTTTTATAGAAACAATGAATTTATCTATTTCATTATCAAAATAATACAGTTGTACAAAAACTTTGTATGATATTTGTCTTGAAAGTAATTTTCACATTGTTCGTTTCACTCATAAAATAAAACGTCACTATCAACACTCATATCATAAATAGCTATTTTCAGGCATTTTTAGGATTTTGAAACTGATAAGTTATTTCAAAAGTTTTGTCCGTTGTAATGTCATGCTTTTTGGTGGCTCCATATCCCAGTGAATATTATTTTTTCTACTGTTAGACCGGGAGCACGTGACAGAAATTCTGACCTCATTTTTTACCGTCTACCTTTATCAGAGGACATGTGTACAGCCACAAGCAACAGTATTATGCGTTAAACGATTTTTTTTCCATGTTACACATGCTTAAACATTAACTCTAAATCACATCGTACCACCTTAAGGGAGAAAAGCTTATCCAGCATCGCTGACGCCATTTTATGCTGATGTTGCTGAATCGACCTGAAGACTGTACTCCATTTATAAATTAGTCAGTTGCTAGATTTCATACAGTAAACGTCTCTGTAATTTCGAATTTTCACAGTTTGTAATAAAAATATATTTTTTAAAAAGTGACTTTGCGTGTACGTTGATATATTTGGCGCAGTCGCGGTAGGATTATCAGAATTGTTTCGAATCGTTCGTGCAATTTTTTTTCGTTTCTACGATTACCTGATTTTCTAACTGATATCAACTTCGTGCATCGCTGTTTTGACTTTCTGTTTCGGAGTGGCTACCAGAACACCCAGTCTATCGCAGACCCGCACACAGCCTGTCAAGGAGCGTATCATCGAAATTTGGGACCAACAAACCCCGAATTTGCAAGGAGCAACGGCCTGGAAAAGACAAAATCGCTTAGCCAGTCGTCGACCTTATAGGAGGATAAGTACGAAACATGCACACAGTCGCTTTCATACTTTTGTAAGTACAATTGTTTATGTCCTTCGACGATTTGATCAACAATCTTGAAAATTTGAATTTAAACTCGCCTTCAACTGACTCACAGTTACTATTAACTCCTAGTTCTAGCCAAACCACCCATACACATACAACCAATTCTATAAATTCTCTTAATAATCAATCAATAATAACGTATCAATTCAGAGTATTCCTGAATCTGATGGTAACCCTAATGACCTCACAAGATTCCTTTCAGTTAGTTCAATAATTTCCAAAATATTTTTTTGGTAAATTCCATTATTTCCAAATTGAAGGGCAATGCTAAAACGTTAGTTAACATTCAACGTGCGAAAGAATGGAAAGATTTCAAAGATATTCTTACTAGAAATTTTTCTGATCAACGAGATGAAGTTTGCCTCAATAGAAATCTTGTAATGATGAGACAATCTAATAATGAAAATGCTCAAAGTTTTTACGATAGATGCGTTGATATCTTTAATTTGCTTTGTAGTTTTGTTAACGTTCATGAAACTACAGATGGCGCTAAAGACCTTAAAAATTTATACCAAACCTTAGCCTTATACCAAAATTTAGCTCTTAAAACGTTTCTATCAGGGCTTAAAGAACCTGTAGGTACTACAATCAGATGAATGAAGCCTAAGTCACTCAACAAAGCATTACAGTATGTCATACAAGAAGGAAATGTACATTATTTTCAAAATGTATCTGATAAAACCAGTACAAAATCTAACCCAACTCAAAGAATGCATCAACCTCAAAGACCTACCAATATTCCCCAACAACTTATTCGAAGATATAATAATAACTTCAAATCGAACACTCCCTTACTTACTTCGTAAACAAATGAACTTTCCATCACAACCAGTTCAAATACAGCAAAGACCTAGAAGTCAACCACAACAATATTTTACAAATGCACAAGTATTCAAACCAAGAAATTTTAATGCATTTGAACCAAAAAATGAATCCCAACCAAGACCTTCACCAATGAGTACGTCTACTAGAAATACTCGAATTTAACCTAATTCAGTGAATATATCATCAAGAAATCCTAATACTGCACAACAGTCATATTTTCAAAATCGCGGAACGCGAAATTTTGTAAGCAAAGAATTATTCGAAACTGAAACAAATGAGCTTGACCAACAAGTTGATACTGATCAACATAATCAAAATATTGATACTGATCAATACATTGATAGTGACCAATATAATGAATATGACGAATTTCAAGAAATTAACCCTGAATGTCGAATTCAAATGATCAATAATGCAGAACAAACAGAAAATGATAATATAAACTCTCATTAGGAGCCTCGGAAAAATTAAAAAACCCTCAAATAATTTCATTCAACTCGTCCAACTCTAGTGAATTGTCATATATTGTTTTTCCAGAATACAATATTGGAATTTTGATCGACTCTGGTTCCACAAAGTCATTTATCGATCCTGAAATTGCTTTCAAATGTTTCCCAAACTTGGTAAGAAATGACCCATTTGTTGTGTCTACAGTATTTCAGAAATCCTCACATAAATACAGTACAAGCATTTCAGCATCTAAAATATTCAATTTCCCAAAGCCAATGAAATTAAAATTCTTTTTTTTCAAATTTCACAATATTTTTGATGGTCCCATTGGCCTGGATAACTTAAAAATCTTACAAGGCAGCATAAATTTTGATAAGAGATATTTATTGACCCCTTTCTCGAAAATTAAGCTTCTGTTCCATAAGACAAGCATTGAATTAAATTTGATTACAATAGCACCTAGATCCGAACAAGTAATCAAAATAAAAACGTCTATCTCTGATGGCAAAATAATGATTCCGCATTATAAAATTCATAACTGCAAAATCCCACAATGTCTCACTATCGCAAAATAAGGATATGCGCTGACAACTATTTTAAACGATAATACTAGTCTAGTGACATTGGACTTTTCCAAACCATTAAATGTTGAATCTTTTGATTATAATGAAATGCAAAACATTGATTTGAATAATATTAATGTATCAACTGACCACACACTAGACCTTAATTCGGAAGAAAAAGCCAAAATCCTAGAAATTTGTGAAGAATATTCGGACATTTTCTACCAAGAAAATACTCCCTTGACATTAACCAGCAAAATACGACAGGATATACGTACGACTGACCGGTGTACACAAAATCTTATCGATATCCTTTCATTCATAAAAAGGATGTCGAAGACCAAATTAAACAAATGCTTGACTCTAAAATAATTAGGCCTAGTAACTCACCATGGTCGTCACCTATATGGGTTGTTCCCAAGAAGGTTGACGCTACTGGCAAACAGAAATGGAGAGGTAGTCATCGACTATCGTAAACTTAACGAAAAGACGATTGACGATAAATAGCCTCTCCCTAATATTCGGCGGCTTCCGCCAAATCGAGATGGAAGAAAAGGACATAGAGAAAACAGCTTTTAATACAGAAAACGGACATTACGAGTTCCTGAGGATGCCGTTTGGGCTGAAGAACGCACCAGCCACGTTCGAAAGGGTGATAGATAACATCCTAAGAGGCATACAAAACGAAAAATATCTCGCCCACCTAGACGACATCATCATTTTCTCAACTTCACTTCAGGAGCACATGGAAAGACTTTGATGTGTATTCCAGAGACAAAGAGAATCGAGTTTTAAGATTCAACTCGATAAGGCTGAATTTCTAAGAATAGAGGTGGCCTATTTAGGACACACAATTACTCCCGAAGGTGTCAAACCCAATCTTGACAAAATAAATGGCATCAAAAACTTTCCATTACCCAAAACAACAAAACAAATAAAAGTTTTCCTTGGACTGTTAGGTTACTACCGACGTTTTATTCCAAATGTTGAGAAAGTTACAAAACCATTCACCAAATGTTTGAAAAAGGGTGCCAAGATTGAACACAATGACGAATTTTTGACTTGTTTCGAAACCTGCAAAAATCTTTTGATAAACGAACCAATACTCCAGTACCCTGACTTCACAAGAACGTTTAACCTTATAACAGATGCCTCAAATGTAGCTTTGGGAGCGGTCCTTTCACAAAGCCCTATTGGAAAAGATCTACCGGTGGCCTTCGCGTCACGAACCCTTAACGATTCTGAACAGTAATCGAAAAGGAATTATTAGCCATTGTATGGGCAACAAATTACTTTAGACCATACCTATACGAACGAAAATTTAATATTATCACTAATCACATACCACTTCAGTGGTTATTTTCATTAAAAGATCCACATTCAAAATTGATGAGGTGGAGAATCAAACTCGAAGAATACCAATTTTCGATCATTTATAAGAAGGGGAAATTAAATACGAACGCGGACGCACTTTTCCCTGTAGAAATTCATAAAAAGGAAACCAGATCATTTTGGGATGAACTAGATGAAATAATAGTTGAATCCTAACGTCTGGGAAACCCAACCACTTCCTTTGGAATACAACCTGTACCAATAAGTCAAACAGACCAAATTTTGAACACTATATGCCAACCGTACAATGACATTCTAACGATTGGTGAACCTGTACAGGACATAGACGACTTTTCCATGATTGTCAATATTGGTAATGACCACAATAACACAGTGAATAATACAAACGACTACTCTATCGAAAGTAACCAAACACTTATCGTTAATGACCAACCATCTACCGAAAATAATCAATCAATTACTGAAAATACTCGACCAATAATCGAAAACAACAATGAAATACCCCCTGTCAACCAAGACGACGAAAACCATACCATCCACTCTAACGCTGATCAACATCCTATTAAAAACTATCACGAAGGTGAATCTAATCATTGTGGTATAGATGAAACCCTACAAAGAATCAAAGAAAAGTACTATTGGCCAAATATGAAAAGTTCCATACAAACTTTCATAAATGAATGTGAACTATGTCAACAATGCAAATACGACAGAAACCCTGTCAAAATGCAAATGAATGTTACTCCAAAAGCCGCAAAACCATTTGAAATTGTACTTTCCAAAAATCAAAATGCTCAACCATCATAGATAGCTTTTCTAAATACGCCCAATCTTATATCCTGAACGCAACGACAGGTACAGAAATCGCTAACAACTTAATACGTTATTTTTCCCATCATGGCGTACCCAAACAAATTATTCTAGACAATTGAACCGAATTTAAAAATTCCGTAATTACTGAACTTTTAGGACTTCATAAAATCAAAGTCCACTTCTGTTCCCCAAATCACCCCCAGTCGAATGGAATTATTGAACGATTTCATTCAACTATTATCGAACATTTACGACTACTTAATACAAAAGGGTTTTCAAAAACACCTATTAAAATGAAAATGATTTACGCGATCTTAGCTTATAATCATTCAATTCATTCCGCTACCAAACTCAAACCAATTGATATCATCTGTTCAATATCTGTTCAATATCTGTTTTTCCGTTAACCAGCTGTCACACCCCTACGAACGACAACCCTCAGAAGTCGAAACTTGTGCGAGCTAAGGAATAACGAGGTCTTACCTTTTAACGTGTGATTCCTAACACGGTTATATGTCATAAATGGACATATAACCTCCAATGAACCATTCGATATTAAACTCGATCAAATCTTATTGAATGACTATATATCGCAATTCAGAGAACGAGCAAAATTGTTATACTCTCAAATTAATGCTAGTTTAGTTAAAAAGAAACAACAAATTACTGAGAAAATTAATAAAAATAGAGACGACCCGGCAATATTTGGAACTAAACAGAAAGTTTACACCAAAAAACATCTGAGACAAAAGAACGCGAATAAATTCTTAAATTAAAACGACTAACAAACGCAGAAAAGTGATATCCACCGCGAAACATGCAAAGGTACACATGGACAATATAAAACGTCCACTTAGACGACTTTATTCATTCGACAA